ACCGACACGAGAGAGCGCGCACGAGAGAGAGCGAGAGAGAGAGAGAGACACACACAGAGCGAGCAGTTGGAGCTTACTGACGACAAGAGAGCAGAGAAAGTGAGAGAGAGAGATCAGAGAGAGAGAGAGAGAGAGTAAGAGATCAAGAGAGAGAGAGAGGGAGATCGAGAGAGAGATCAAGAGAGAGAGAGAGATCAGAGAGAGAGATCAGAGAGAGAGATCAAGAAGGAGAGAGAGATCAGAGAGAGATCAAGAGAGAGAGAGAGATCAGAGAGAGAGAGATGAATTCAGAGAGAGAGATCAAGAGAGAGAGAGAGGGAGATCGAGAGAGAGATCAAGAGAGAGAGATCAGATCAGAGAGAGATTATAGGTCAAGATAAGGTCAATGTGATCGAGAACTCGAAGAGAATGGATGATGTGAGGGTGTGGTGGTAGAGAGGCGTGCGGATCGTCAATGACCTTTAAGGTTATTTCAGAGGCAAACACAGAGAAATAACATGGCTGCCGTCTGTACTCAGAGACAGCATGGACGCTGGAAAGAACCAAGTGATGAGAACTCGCACCAGGCCGCCGACACGAATTTTCTGACAATTGACACGGTCATGGTGACAGCTTTCGCGTACGGCCATTTTTGCTATCAAGCAGGTGGCTTGCAAACAGGGACAAGAAAGTTGAATCGTTCCCACGTGATTTTTCCTCCCCACATTGATTCACTTTTCCCACCCACGCACCTGCGCTGACCGCCGAGATGAAGGTCATCTGCTCGTCCGAGTTTGTTACCATCCCCGATGGCGGTGCGTATTCCCTGCTCTCCCCTCTTGCTCTGCAAACGGCGGTGCCCTGGCATGTCAAAGACATTGTGGTGGTGGTGGTGGTGGTGGTGGTGGTCCTGGTGGTCTTGTTGCGTTTTGAGAAAGGTCGGGAGGAAAAGCAGGTAGTCTTTGACGTTGAGCTTGGAAAGAGGCCACGAGGACCCTCGGCCTCAGCCTCAGCGTCAGCCTGGTGTATCGGGTCTTGGGTGCCTGTCATCGCGGCTTGCGTACTTTTGGGCTGACTTGGTGGCCCAGACGGTTCATCCTCGGTCTCCTCTTGGAATGCCGGGGTTCATGGAGCTGCAAGCGGCCCCACATCCATCACGCACGAGGGCGCGCCATCGGTTCTGTGTGCCATCTCGACGCGTCGGTCCCAGATCCCCAAAGACCTTGCGTTGCACGACTGTTCGTGCACCTTGTCAAGGCGCCCTGGACAGGGCGGTGCGGCACATCTTGTTTTCTGTCCAAGGGCATGGTGTCGCCTCTGTCCAAGCGCGCCACTTTTGCACATGATCTTGTGCGCAGCGTCCAACGGGGCGCGAGAAGGGGGATTTGTTTGTTGAGCGAGCTCCAGTTTGTGAGCCACCACGACGACGCAGTTCAGCCAGCTACTATCACCACCTCTGTTCTCACCACAATGTCTTGATATCATTATCGATGCCATGCCATCTTTGCTGTTTCCTCACACTTCCGTCAGTCGCCCAGTGCTCACCATCCATGTCTCGTCTTGTTTGCCTCCCCAACAGTCACCGTCGAGGTGAACCAGCGCCACATCAAGGTGACCGGCAAGCGCGGCACTTTGGAGCGCGTCTTCAGGCACATCCAGACGGAGATTGTCTTCGTCTCTGCTCAGAAGCTCAAGGTCTCGTGCTGGTTGGCCAACAAGAAGGCCCTCTCGTGCGTGCGCACCGTTGCCTCCCACATCAAGAACATGATCAAGGGTGTCTCGTACGGTTTTGCCTACACCATGAAGACGGTGTATGCGCATTTCCCCATCAACTTGGCCTTTGATGGCGACAAGACGATCAACATCCGCAACTTCCTTGGCGAGAAGGTTGTGCGCACCCGTCACATGCTTGAGGGTGTCACCGTCAAGTCCACTTCCAACAAGGACGAGATTGTTGTTGAGGTATGTTTTTTCAGGGTTTTCTGCATTTGCACTCGTCGTCTGCGCCGGTCTTGTTTGATGGACGCATCTTTTTGGGCACGATTGGGTCGGTTTTTTTTTCCCATTTGCTTGCTAACTCTCACGAATCATGCTTGTGCTCTTGACGTCCCCCCTTTTTTTTCCTGCAGGGCAACGACATTGAGAAGGTCTCCCTCTCGGCCGCTCTCATCCACCAGTCGACTCTGGTCACCAAGAAGGATATCCGTAAGTTCCTTGACGGTATCTACGTCTCGGACGTCGGCACCGTTGACCCCATTGACGCATAAACATGCCAAGGTGGCCAATATTGCACGCCCGTGGTACAGCCTCGGATCCAGCGAGCGTGGAAATTGCAATCTTGATTGTTACCCCATTTCTTCTTCCCAAGATTTCACTTTTCCTCACAACAATTGGGAGCCCGACGCCTCACATCTTTTTACAATGTTAACGCGTTTGTTTTTAATCACGCGTCGTTCCCGGCCAAACATGGGGAGTGTTGATGTTCTGCCTGTCCTTGCTATTCCCGATTGAGCGTGGTGGATGCACCGAGTGCTTCCATCACATGAGTCATGTTGAAACCTGCTCAGGGACCAGGTTTAACTCTGTCGAGCCCACCGGGCATGAACAGGTCATGGCCAATGGCACAAGGGGCTTTTGGTGGTTCTTTCAGGACGTTGATGAAGTATCGACGCGTATCCCTTTCTCCTCCTCTGTACAAATCACTTAACAAACAGCGTTCTGTCATTCCGTGCTGTTTGCGCTTCCTGATTTGGCCATTTGATCGCTCTGTTCCCTCGCTGATCGAGGATCCACCACAAGGCTGCATGCTAGAGATCTTGGAAGTCTGTTACCCTTTCAAGTGTTTTGAAGGTGATCATCGAGCCAGTTTCGGGAGGGAAGACAATGGAAAAAAAAAAAAGAGTTTTCGAGTCAAGTCATCAAGACCACGGGGTTGGGAGAGAAGGAGAGCAAGGGGAAGCGATTTGAGACGGGTCAAGAAGACACCGCCCCGGGAGCAAGAGGACGGGTCCAACGGGATCTGATCCTCCCTTGTGCACCCTATATGGCTGTAAGAGTCACAAAAGTCTGGTTTGGAGACAAGAGTGTGTCACCACCAACTTAAGCCTTCTGCTCCTGGGCCGCGCGCACGTTGCCCTTCTTGGCAAAGCGCATGTTGCGGAGGAACTTGGGGTCCATCTGCGGGAGGACAAGAGGAACGCCGCATGATGCGAAAAAGCAAGATTGTGTGAGCAACGCGTCTTATTCACTGGTGTGGTCGCTGGCCGTTGATGAGGCGCGCAGGCGAAGATGAAACGTACGCCCTTGAGAGCGGGGAAGCGCTTGGTCTTGGGCTTCTTGAGGCCGTTACGGTGGGCCTTGTAGTCTACATGAGCAGGCGAGAACATTGACGAAAGGTGTCAGCTTTCCACCAATGGTTCCGATGGTTCCTTGTGGAATTGAACAAAAACAAAGCCCTGTCGCGGCCGCTGACTCTAGAGCGGGCAGCAAAGCACAGGGAGAAGTGCGAGGCCCAACATACTCTGGTTGTGGGCGGTGTGGTTCTTGGACTTGGCCATGGCTAACGGTCTGTAGAAAGCAATGGGCGTGGCATGAGCTGTGATGTAAAAAAGGAAGAGCCAAGGCGAAGGGGCAACCCTCAAGGTTTGACCGCGTCCAAAGACGAGCCGACAAGCGCGCGCGCACGCTCAAGCTCAGCTGTCTCATGGACACACACACAAAGGAAAAGACCCCCAAAAAAAGAGGCACTCAAAGGCAGTGCACGGCTGGATCTGATCAAACGAGCGTCATGCCGATGAATCAGAGCCACTGATCCACATGCCCCAGGCCAGCGAATGGGGCCCCCCATCGTGCAGAAGCAGGGCAGGCCGCCGTCGCTTTCGCCTCGACACCCAGCGCGGTCCAAGGGCCGCGGAACCGGGCCAACGCATGGAAGGGTTCAAACCTCGAAACAGAGTAGAAAAGTGTGGGGGTAAAAAAACCGCTGGTGTGATATCAATCGGAAAACACCTGTTGTACTTTGTCGTTGTCGTTGTTTGTTGTTTGATCTGCTGACATTGACGTTGGCGAGTTGACGTTGGCGACGGCGGCGGCGGAGGCGCAGAGGCGGCGGAGGGGGTGATGGGAGGCAAGCGGGGGATCGGCTCGTGTGGCTTCATATGTGCTGGAGCGAGACCCAAGGCTACAGGGCGGGAGGGAGCCCTTGTTTCCCCTTGGTCATGAAGCCATCTGCCCTCAGCCTCATTGGCTTTTCGGTGCAACGGACAGCAAACCCTTTTCTTGAGACCACCCCTTCATTCTAAACATTTCAAAACATCAGTGCAAAAGAGAGAGAGAGAGAGAGAGAGAGGTTTGGCCTAAATTTGCCATTTTCTTCCTAATTTGGACGGTAAGCCCAAAGACAGAAAATTTCAACCGATTTTGAGTGATTGACACACATCGCATCTCTGGTTATCGTTATATCTCCCTGCGAAACTCGTTGGTTGTGAGCTGGCCCCCTTCCCTCTCTCTGAATACTGCATACGTGTCTGTTAGAGAGAGAGAGAGAGAGAGAGAGAGAGAGAGAGAGAGAGAGAGAGAGAGAGAGAGCTTGAGAGAGATGAGAGAGAGGAGAGAGAGAGAGAGAGAGAGAGAGAGAGAGAGAGAGAGAGAGAGAGAGAGAGAGAGAGAGAGAGAGAGAGAGAGACACGGCGCGCGCTTGACTGAAACGGCAGCGCGCCTCGTGTCCGTTGACAAGTGTATGTACCTGTATCTGTACAAACCCTTTGGGCATGGTCGCCTCTACGCGCCCTCGTGTGCATGGCTCCTCTGGTGTTGTGCATTCGCCCAAATGCATTTGCAAGGGTACATCGTGTGTGTGTGTGTGTGTGTGTGTTTCCAAGTGAAACGGCAGCCCCGGGAGGCGCTTCGACCGCGCGTTCACTGGCGTTGACTGGCATTTGCAAACACGGATGTCGCTTTCCTTGTCGCTTACCACTGTGCGTGGGGGGTTTGACACGCACACACTGGCCTCGATCTTTAACGTCTTGTCCCCCTTTTGCTTGTCATTCGGCTCCATGGCTCTCTCTCTCTCTCTCTCTCTCTCTCGTGCCTGCCCCGCCTTTGCTGTGCGTTTGATCGTCTGTGTGTGCGCTTGGTCGTGGTGTGTGTGTGCGCTTGGTCGTGGTGTGTGTGTGTGTGTGTGTGTGTGTACATCCATGTGCGTCACTCTCTAAGTGTGCGTCTCCCCTCTTTCCTCCTCCTGCCTCACGTCCTCCTCCTCTTTCTCCTCCTGCCTCACGTCCTCCTCCTCCTCCTCCTCCTCCTTCTCCTCCTCTTTCTCCTCTTTCTCCTCCTCCTCTTTCCTCTTTCCTCTTTGCTCCTCCTGTCCCGTCTAGCTTGTGAGCTGCTCGTTCACCCCTTTGACTCACCGATCCGCCGTTTTTTTTGCCCTCCCTCCCTCACTGCCACCCCTAGGACTCTTAACAAACCTTTTTCTTTGCTTCACGACACACACACAGGATCACCGGACACCATGGCTGCACTCAAGGAGGTGGATCGCCAGCTGGCTGAACTCGAATGTGCACCCCGCAAGCCCGAGGAGGAGGAGTACATCCAAGCTTGTGCCGATGTGGCCACTGAGGAACAGCGCAAGCTTCTCTGTGAACACGACTACCTCACCTGCGTCCGTGGCTACGCCTCGTACGAACCCCGCAAGGAGGAGACCGTCAAAGCCTTCAAGGTTTGTCTTTCCAACCGCCTCCCTGAATCCGTTGTCCGCGAGCCTCCCCTCGATCCGTCAATCCCGTGCCAACGCCACCAAGAGCAAGTCCGCAACAGTACCGCCCCAGCAAAGACAGGGAGACATGACAAAACGAACAGAACGAAACACAACAACAATCCCCTCCCCCTTCTCCATTCTGGGCGCGATCAGTCCCGTCTTCATCTCTCATCTCGTGCTGACCCCCCCCAACCCCAACCCTCAACCCTAACCCTCATCCACAGAGCATTCTCGACTGGCGTGACAAGGTCAACTACTACGAGTACATGACCAAGCGCATCGACGGTGACGCCGACTTTTACCAAAAGTGGCCCGAATACATTTATGGCCACGACAAGTACGGCCATCCCCTCGTCTCCCTTCACGTCGAGAAAATCAGCACTGATGCCCTTGCCGCCATGGACTCGTACGTACCCTGGCTCCCTCCCACCGCCTTGCCCCCACCTCTTTGACTTTTCCCTCTTCGTTCCCCTCTTTTTGGTCGTTCGGCCGTTCATGTGATTGCAAGGGAAAAAAAAAAAAAAAAAAAAAAAAAATAAGAAAATATCAACAACACATCAACCACAACACCTCTGCCACAATCGCGCCTCACCCCTTGCCCGGCCTCCCATCTATAGGGATCACATGCTCCGTTTGCAGGGTCAAAAGCAGGCCTTTTACAGTGCTTACAAGAAGCAGCTCTCCGACAAGCTGGGCGAGCAGCGCTACAAGTACTCCCTCATCGTCGACCTCAAGGGCAGCGGCATGAACATTCTCTACGGCCAGAAAAAGGCCGTCATTCAAAAAGTCTTCAGCGTCGGTGCCGACTTTTTCCCCGAAAGCCTCTGGAAGATTTACGTCATCAACGCCCCCTTTGTCTTCCGCGTACGTTTCGCCCTCATGTTCACCCCCGCCTGCTGTTGAACAATTATAACACATCCTAACATCCCACCCCCCTCGCCTCCTGCTCATCTACATCTGTTTGAACCCCTCCCCTAGACGGTCTGGGCCATGATCAAGCCCTGGATCCACCCCATCACCCAAGCCAAGGTCAACATGCTCGGCTCGGCCTCAGCCGCCGTCAAGAAGATGCAAGAAGACGGCCTCGAGCTCGACGCCATCCCCACCTTCCTCGGTGGCACCTGCGAGCCCGCAGAAACCTTTGACAAGCTCATCGAAATGATCGAGCAAAACAAAAACCATTCCGCCATCAACCCCCTCTCCCTGACCCCGCCCGGCGCGGCCGACGCCACCGCCCCCGCCGCATCAGGCAACGCCGCTATGGACCCCACTGAAAAGGCCGCCGAAGACATGGGTCACCTCGCCGTCGTATAACCAAGTCTCAACTTGCCCCCTCATCCCCGTTCATCAGTCCCCTCTCCAACCTTTGCTACTCACACCCCCCGAGTGAGACAGAGTAGGGGCCTTGTGGGACAGAAGAGAAGAAAAAAAATTGACCGAGTATCCTTGACTTGCTCTTTGGTTTCTCCGGCACAACCACATCTCGCGGCAGTGCAGGCCCCTCGCCTCCACCACATTGGTGAGCAGCCAGTTTAAATGTGGGCATCAAACATAACACAGCACAGCACAGCATTGCACAGACAGACAGACAGACAGACAGACGGACAGACAGACACGCACGCTGACTCATACGTCATCATCCTTGATATCAGCAGTCCAAACTCAATTTCAAATCGCTGGGGGCTCGGGCACACAGTCCCTGCTCGCCCAGGACACAAATAAAAACACTCAGCAGTAGGGATCCCATCCCACCCAGGACCGACCCAAAAGATTGGGATCTGTCGCTTGATCCAACAGGGCATCTACTTGTTGCTCCACAGTTAGCGCAACCTCCGTTGGCAACGTGGCCCTAAGACCCATCCAAGACGTTGCATGTGTGTGAACATGCACGCAGCCAAAGCACAGGCCAAACTGCGCTTGATGTTCACAAGAGCGATTGCGCTTGCTGTACGTACCGCAGATCCTGGTCACGACGACTGCCCCACACCACCTCTTGGACTTTGCTTCGATACGCGGCAATATGCCTACTGTCCGCCACTTCCTCCGCCATGATGGCAGCTGGATGGCACCCCGACAATTTCAAGCGCAAGCGCTCGAGCTAGTTCGTGGATACCGGCCCGCATTGGGCAACAGTCGTTTCAACAAGCACACAGTCCAGTGAACGGCAGTGCCTACCCACCAACTCCCATGACAAACACTTACGTTGCGCGTCGCGTAGTTTTCGACTTGGAGCTCCTCGCCCTCTTCCTGCTTGATAACCTTTTTGGCATTTTGTTGCCAATCCAACGTCGGTTCTGTGGCAAAAATCTGGATCACTGCCAACAAGTCGGAGCGTCGAGCCTAAATAGTATTGCCACAAGAAAAACAAAACAAACAAAACAAAACAAAACAAATGCGATCAGTACGCACACAGATACACACGCACACACACACAAATGACCCACCTTGAGCGCCGTGAGCACATGGCACATGACATGTTTGATCAAGCCATTGCGTGTGTGCGGTTGCAACGCCTGCTCCATGATTCTACAAAGAGGTAATAGCTGTGCATCAGACAATTGCGCGACGAGATGTTCCAACCAATTAAAAACTCAACCCTCGCTCGTTCGTACCGCGTCAAACGGAATGGCATCAGCTCAGGAATCGGCAGCAAATAAGTGGCCGACCCAAAGTGGTGTCCAAAGTCAATGCCAATGAGGCCACCCCTACGCAAGCACAAGAGCATGAAAAGAAACAAGAGTGGTGCCCAAAGTCGATGCGAACGAGGCCACCCAAGCAAAAAAACAACAAGACGAGCATAGAATGAAAGAAGAATCCTGGCGACGTACGTGCGTAAATCGACCATGACGTTGCTCAAGTGGCGGTCACCAATGCCCAGTATGTACTGGCAAATGTTGATGGTGCTCAAGGTCCGGCCGTAATGCTGCCGCAATGTGAAGAAGCCTTCTGGCGTCGAAGCCAAGGCGAGCAAGGCGTCTCGCAGCAGTGTCGCACGCACCATGCTCTGCGCCTTTTCAAATGCCAACTTGACATCTATTGAAGAATATCGACAGGAAAGTAGACCACAGCCGCATGAGTTCAGGTTTGTACCTTAATGTTCGTCGGGCAAAGCATGTGCCCAATTCTTGTCGGCGTGGCTCGAGCGATGGACCAACCCGAACGCGTGCCCTTGACAAGAACGCGTGTAATGTTGTCGGCGACGCTTGAATGAGCACGCTTATCCGCAAACTTATTGGCAAATAGCAAATAGGTCTCCTGCGTCCAGGTGGGTGGCCAACGTCGGGATGAGGAACATACTTGGCCCACCATGCCCATTGACAAGAGCATAGACGGTGTCAACTTGACCCACCTTGGCACGTTGGATGTCTTTCTCATCTTCATCGCTTTGCATCACAAAATCACGCAACGTGGTTGTGTTATCCATCCATTCCAGCAAGCCAAGGCGAGTGGTCATGGGTATGACCGCATATGTTCTACCGCACCGCATTTCAACAACCGTCCGTGAGCGAGTGACAACCTCAGCATGTTGTTCTCACCGAGTCAAAATTTGGGCTTGGTCGCCTGGCTGACCTGAGGTTGAGCCGCCGCTGCTGGCACGCACGGTCATGCGCCAAAATTCGGTTCATCACAGAGAACACCTACAAAAGAGAGCCCCAGTGTGAGATCACTTGTGCTGCACCACGGGCATGCAAAAATTGCACCGTAATGCACCTGTTCAATCCGGTCGTCTGTGCGCAAATCTTCACCGGCCTTGACCAGAAACTTGTATTCACGTTCATCACTTCCACTGTCAAAATGGTATAAGCCCCCAGAAAGGCACAATGCATGCAATGAGAGCAAGACGCCAGAACAGCAATGACAACACGGCAACATTTATGTTGAGCCGAGAAAAAAAGCAACGGATTGAGCAAAATCAAGACAGAGCGCACGCTAATGAGAGAAAAGGTTAAAAAGCTGCACGTACAGCATAGTCACACGCTTGGGCCGACGAATTGACTTGAGCACCAGCACTCGCGAGTCAAAGCCGCACAGCATCACATGGCTTTGCACATCAGGCCTAAAAGTACACACAGTAATGACCATTGAGGCGCCCACCCAACAGGTGAAGCTGAGGCTGGGGCCATTTCGGCGCGCGAACCCACATGCTATCCTCCTCGCCATACTGGCCAGGAACCTCGAGCGCCATTTGGCCCGTGAACATTGATTCTGCTAGCTGGGGAGCATAGGTGCTCAGAGTACTCGAATCTTTTGCAGCGTCTGCCAACCCTTCGGCGCATTTGCCCAACTCTTTCACCTGGAATCAAAGGGCAGAAACATGGCATGTGAGTGCAGCAGACACTGTGCGCACGTTTGCGCACGTCTGTGCACGTCTGTACACGTGCAAGCGCATCTGATATGACGTTCATGTCGCACGTCCGAAAAATTTCATACCATGGACTTCTGCATGGTCATTGATTTAAGCTTGTCGGGTTTGCTAAGCCACTGCTCCAGCTTAGCGTGAAGCGTGCTAATAATCTTGGGGTCTGTCGCGCGACGCTTCATCCTGTCAAGAACAACAATGGTTCATCGGGCCCCGGACGGAGGGCAGCGTGACTGAGTGTCAACCAGGAGCAGTGTCAAGTGAGCGCGACTTGAAACAAGTCAGACTTACGCTTGAGAGCCAAACACCTTGTGACCAAAGCGTAAACGCTTTTCAATGAGAAGCGCACTCTTCTCATCTTGACCTGAAATACGATTCTGCATCCATGCACGCGAAACCCTTTTGATCAGCACAGGCATGACGCCCCATCAGTTGCCAAACCGCGCTCCCTACCAGCTCAGCTCTGAGGTCACGGAGCATTGTCGGAAGATCGTGCAAAAGATACAATTGCTCAATCAGCAATGTGCAAGATTCCCACGTAGCTCCCACCGCTCGCTATGATGCAATGATTGCGTGAGAAAAACGCCAGGCAAGTTGATGGCGCACAGCGAGCAACCTGGGATTCTGGGGTGACGCCTCACCTTGATGAAGTCAAAGCAGCCGTGCACATCGTTCGAGACAATGCGTTCCTCTAATTGGTCCTGGAGCAGAATCGCCGGGTACGCTACAGCTTGCGGATATCTACAAAAGGTTGAGTTCGGGTGCTCCGGGTCAGTGTTCGAGCCGCGAGAATGACTTTTTCGGTGCGCGGCAACAACAACAGTGTGGGTTTCAAAATGGCAACAGCAGGAACCGCCTCGGTTCTCGGATATTACTCACGCTTTCGCCACGAGACCCAGGATCTGCTTCACAGCAAGCACGTTCTGGTCTGTGGCGCCATATGCTAGCAGTTGTGGAAGCCAGCGCAGATAGATCCATGCCGGCGCAGCGCAGCCGGCAGCGCAGATCAGCTGAGGGAGCCACGGTGGACGTTCTTCCTCCACTTCTAGCAGTGCCAACACACGAGGCAGCAAGGCTCGGCCTTCGGCTAGACCCGATCTATAAAGAGGGACAAACCAGTGTCAAAAGTGGTGTAACGAGCTGCGACTTTGGGAGCGACGAGCAGGCTGCAAGATGAAACAAAGTGGCTTCTCTTTCTCTTTGTGCGTTTCTTTTCAGAGAGAGATACAACGCCAAAGCTTCAGACAGGAACTAAATAAGAAAAGCCAACTTGGGGTTGCCTTCCTTTCCCCTTCTTTCCACACTGACCGCGCTGCTGCAAAACTGTGTTCTACCGCCAATTGCAGCAAAAGAGATCGCCCATAGAGGTCGCTGCTGGCGGCAGGCATCAGGTCGCTCAAGGTTGGAGGGGCAGCTTCCTCGGCGAGGCTGGGCATGACCGAGGCTGAGGTGGGTTGGGCTTCAAGTTGAGCCAGAGCTTGGAAGCAAAAGTCTGCGAAACGCACATGGTGCCGTGCAGCCCTTTCAGGATAGACGTTGTCTATGGGCACCGCGGCCATGTCTGGCACCACATCCAATGGGCACAAAGCGTCGGGCATCTGACGGCGGCGCTGCAGCGTCACACTGCACACAAAGGCAAAAGCCCCCGCCTGAGTGGAGGACTCGGTGCGGTAATAGCCCAAGGGGATTGTGGTACCCCCATGCAAAACATCCGTGGCCAGTTGACGACAGGCCTCGTGCGCTGTGCGCAATGCTTGTTCTGCCATTTGCCCGGCCAAAGCCCCGGCATCTGCATGCAGCTTCAAGCCAGCGTTATGGGCAGCCTCGAGCAGCATCGCCGTTTGCTGCTCATCGAGGTCGGGGGTACCCGGTTGGGGTCGCTCCAGCAAGTGTAGGGCGCGGGCCACATCAACAAGCGTGCCGGCACCATCCATGATCAAACTTGTTCTTGAAAAGACTTCAGAATTGCCGCTCGTAAATCTCATCTGATCACTATATGCGTCAAGGCATCGCAAAATGCTTTGGACCAGCGCATGCGGACTCGAACCACGATCCATACGCAGGCGAAGAGAGAGGTTGTTGTGAGCAGCTCGAGCTTGGCTCTTTAGCAAGAGTAAATCCCGCATGTCATCGCGTGAGAAAGCGGGCAAGCCAACCAGATCCTCCGCCAGGCGAAAGTATTGGCTCGATTGCTTGGGATTATTGATCTGGACTGCCTTGAGAGCCAGGCGGTAATTGTGTTGAGCTTGTTCACGAACAAAAATGCGCTTGGCTTGTGACGCTGCGTCCGTGGAATCTGTCAAGTCAAAGTCTTCTGCCCTGTGGTCGCCAAGAATAGCACTGTGTCGCCGTGAATATTCCTACGCATATCACCAAGCGGTGTCAACCAGTACCTCGTGAGCTTGCCCCCTAACCTTCACACAAAGCTTTTTTTCAAAGAAAAAAAGCAAAAAAGAAGAAGTTGGACAAACATGCCAAACGCTAGGGCGGCAAAAGCTCAGGTTTGGTTCTGGATGAGGCCCGGCACCTACCAGCGCTATTTGGCCTAAGAAAAGGGATCGAAGGAGGAAAACGCCTTCAAAGGCATCAAAGCCCGTGCTTTCCTGAGTCAAGTCCCTGGTGCGCCAGCGTCGGGCCAGCTGCTCCATTGGCTCGGCACTGCCCTCAAAGTTACGTGCCGTTCCCATAAAGTCGAGGTACTCGTCCAATTCGATCAGAGGCTGAACATGCTCCACGCGCGTCAGGCGGATGCCAGTTTGTAGAGCGGGGAGCAAGGGCCAGCTCTGCTCAAATGCTTGGACCCCGGTATTGACCAGGTGGCGAGCGCGGGCCTGGTGAGCGGCCTGCTCGCTCTCTTGCAGAATTTTGTCATGCAGGAGCTCTGTCACGGCCAGTTCGTATGCATGGCGGCGCGCCAAAAGCTCTGCCTGCATGGGCTGCTGGGAACTGCTTGTTACAAATTCACGCAACTTGTAAAAGGCCACAGAAGCCTCTTTCGGTGTCTCCTGGCGCAGAGGAAATAATTGCGTGTTCAAGAATGATAGCACATGATGGAGACCATCTCGCAAATTGCTCTAATAAAACAATACACACAAAAAAAAAAAAAAAAAAAAAAAAAAAAAAAAAAAAAAAAAAAAAAAAAAAAAAACAGAAACAAGCAAACCAACATAGACATGAAAGTAGCAATCTCCATGAGTCAAACAATACGTGTGCAGAGCAAACCAAGCCGTTGGATTCTGGGCAAGCGATGTGCCCAAACATGGCTCTCAGCGGGCAGGCGCTCGTACAGTCATGGTGGCATCGACCAAAGCGGTTGCTTGTCGATCAGTCCAGATTCGCTCAAGGGATGCGGCTTCGAGAACGTCTTCATCGGGCGTGCTCTCGTCCACAAACAACTCGCTCACTACCCGCCGAACCCCAGTCCAGCGGCCCAGACTACGGTATCCATCCACTATCGTAAAGAGCAATGCGTGCACCAGAGCTGCGTATGAGTTGTACCAAATACCACAGCGACTGCACGCCTGCCGATAAGAAAACGATTGAGCAGGCCACAAGTCTTCGCTTCGGCCTCTCAGGCCCCTCCTTCCCCGACATCACACGGGCATCAGGCGCAACGCACGCTGAATCTGCTGCCAGAGCTCTTCCTCGGCCAAGTCTACCTCGGCGTCCCCAGCCTCATCAACAGCCTTGATGGCGCCGAGATAGTCGTCGTGTGCAAGGCAAGCAAACGCCTGCCGCGTCGTTCCGCTGCCATGACGACTAAAAATGCCGTGCAGCGTGTCAAACTCGCTCAGGGTATTGTACAACCGGCCCAGCTCGAGCCAACTGTCAAAATTCCCCAAGAACGGATCTGCATCCCCCAGCTGCTTGCGTCGCTTACTGGCAGGCCCTGAACTCGGGTGCTGTGCCGTCAGCATCAGATGGCGCTCCAACAAGAGAGCTGCCAACGGCATCGTGTCACTGGCCACGGCAATGCGACATAGGTTGGCGGGAAGATCCCCAAAGCGCGAGAAGAGCTCGCGCAGCGTGTCGTCGTCCAGGCTGTACAGAACTTCCGTGGCCATGGCAATGACAGGGCTGATGCCTTGGCGGCTCTTTTGCAGCAAGTGCGCAAAATTGTCAGCACATGTTAGCAAGAGCTGTCGGCTGTCCGCCTCCGCAGCTTGGCTGGCAAACGCATTGAGGAGGCCAGTCACCAGCTCAACCAGTGCCGAGCGAGCAAAAGTGGTGTCGCGTTGGGTCAGCGCCACCAGAGGCCGGATCAACTCGGCCTGCTTGATTTGAATGTCTGGCAGCTACACACACACACACAAGCAAAGCACAACAAGGCAAAACAGAGTGTAATATGAGGGTGCGGAGCGAAGTTGTGGTGTGTTTTTGTTGATACGCCGAGGTTCATGGGTTGTCGGGTAGCAACGGAATTATGCCCAAGTCCCACGTCAAGTTCTAACCTCGCCATCCTTGTAGTCACGGTAGAGCACCACATTGGCATGGCGAGCTTGGCGCCGTTCCTTGGCACGCGCTTGTCGTTCCAGGCGCTGACGCGTGGCTTGTCGAGCCCAAAACGCTGTTTGCGCGCCTTCCTTGGTTTGCAGAAAGCGGCGTCGTAGCCGCCCAATCTCCCGGCGCTCGAGGGCCTTTTCACGAGCCTGCATGGCGGCTGCCAGCTCGTGGTCCTGCTCGCTTTGAGAAAACGCGACTTGCGTGCCAGCCAATGTGCCGGCACGTGGTCGACGGCGAGTCACCAGAAGGACGCGTTGCGAATCGGTAAACTGCGTCTGCGTATTCTGCGCGGAGCGTAGCGAATCAGCCGGGGCAGCTCCTGGTCGAAAGGACTGTGTTTGAGAGAATGAGTAGTACGAGGCCTGAGTGGCACGGATGCCACGCTGACGCAGGGTGGCCTCTAGGGAGGCATCAAGTGAGCTTTGCGAAAAAAGCGGCGTCAGATGAAGATTTCGACGTTGCCAGGTCACGTCCACACGCAAAGGGTGGCGCTCGCAATCCTTCAAGGCTTGCTCAAACAGCTGGCGTTCGTAGTCGGGGCTGCGAGCCGTCAAACGCAGCAGCAGAGAGCTGCACGTGGACAAGAAACTGCCCTCTGATGCGGGGACGTAGAGCTTGTCTAGAACTTCACATAAACGCAGATCCTGCCATGACGACCACACGTTTTCACTGAGACGTGGCGCATCTGAATCAGCTCCACCCACAAGACCTGAATGCCACCTGTTGCCCCTGGTGTTGAATCAGTACAAACCGTTGCAATGGACAGCCGGGTCTCTTGATCAAAGAACTCCTCCGCCGAGCGGCGGATAATCGCACTCTCGTCTGAAAAAGCCATGACCAGCAAGCGAAGCGTCTCTCGCTGCACCGTATTGCTCTCACCCAAGGCTACCTTGAGCCTACAAATGGACAATTTTGAGACAGGCATTTGGTCGTTAGGTGAGCGGTGAGCGGTGAGCGGTGGGAGCACCCTGCCACCCAAGGTTGAACTGCGCGACCTACTCTGCGGTGAGCGTCAGATCGTAAAGGACCATGAGGAGCTGGTAGTGGAGGAGTCGCACTTGTGCGTCATCATGATGCGGAAGATGGGCTATTAAAGCCGGAAAGTAGCGCTGCACCACTGAGGGCTCGAGCGAAGGCAGGATGGCTTTCAGAATGGTAAGTACAGCGCACTGCGTCGACGGCGCGTGACGTTGCAAAAGACCGGGCAGGTCCTTGCCCAAAAGCTCCCGAAAGAGGTCTGGAATAGCCGTGGCTCGCCACATCAGCACCTCCAGAGCTTGTGTTTTTGCGTTTCCAGCACAGGCGGGCAGGACGTAGAGCAGCGTTTGCACCAGCTCATCAACGAAGGCAGGATAGCCCAAGGTGGCATTGCAGATGGCGTGCAGCGCCGTGACAAATCTCTCCCGTCCTTCTGCTGAATCACGCTTAATGTCCATGAGGCAGCGCTGGGTGGCCTGCGTCAACATCTGCAGCGCATTGCAAGGCAGAGGCAAGCAAGTTGGGATGAGCGATGCACGGTTGAGATTGGCTGCAAAGCCAAGCAATGCTGATCTCGTGGTCGGAGGTCGGCAACCCACCTGGCCCACGCCTGCTGTATCACTGGCACCGTCCTCGGACCCGTCATATACGCATTGAAGATACATGCCAATGACAGAGGCAGCTGTGCGACACATGGTCAGGCTCTTATGCGTAAGGTAGCCCGCCAGCTGGTTGCAGAGTCCATCCAATCGCATTGCAGGTGGAAGGTTCTGAGCTGTGGGATAGATGCCGTTGGCCAAGGCCTAGACATGCTCGCGCGCACACACATCACAAGGCACACGTCACAAGGGTACAGTCAATAAATATTGTTATAAACACGGTCGTGCGAATGGGTCAGATGGAAAGCGTCCCAACACGCTTCTAAATACATCTGACGGGACATGCGTGGGGGGCTAGGGCGTACCACGCTAAAAAGATGAAGTGAGCTGCGCAACCTCTTGGTGCTGATGCCAGAATGCGCCGCAAACTCACAGAGCACCTCCATGGTTAAGCCGGCATGTGTTTGTGCGCTACAGCACATCGTCAGCCGCGAGTTGTTGTCGTTGAGATGACAATCAGGGAAGAAGACAGATTTTGAAAAAGAAAGAAAGAAAGAAAGAAAAAAAAAAAAAAAAAAAAAAAACCTCGCACAGGAATGTCAAGAAGCACTTACCCCCACTTCTCCACAAAAGTCTTGATAATGGTAAGGTTGTTGCGGAAAATTGGTCCACTCTCATGCTGCGCATGACGAACCAGGAACTCAATAAACTGTTGCACCACCTTTCCAGGAGAGCAATAGCAAATAGGAGACACAAAGGCAACCACAGAGTAGAAATGGATGTAAGTAGGGCAGCACCCCGGCCAACAATGGGCCCAAAGCGCGGCATTGGCTGCGCCGGCACCCAAAGACACGGTACAGACGGCCAAGCTGAATGGTCCTTACAATCACATCAGAGGCTCCAGGTACGGCGGTTTCACTCCAGCGCAAAAGGACAACACATAGGTCAGTGACAAAGTAGTTGAAGGGCTCAGCCTGGCGATCGCCAAGGGCCACAGCCATTCGCATCAGCGGGCTAAGCAGCGACCGGCATTGGTTAAACAGGTAAGAAGAGCACGGCGACGTGTATTCGGCACACATTGTCCAAACGACTCGAAGCAAGCCCTCTGACGTACGCAAGCCACCACTTGGCCCAGGGCTGAAAATGTTGCGGCTGGTTGATGATGACCTTGGCAATGAACAGTTTCTGATTCATGTGCACATGGGCAGCATTGACAATGGACAGGAGCTCACTCATCCAAGCTGGGAGCGTCTCGGCGGCGGGAATGGCAGGGGCTTCTTCAGCCGAGCGCAAGGCTGATGCAGCGGCGCTGCCCGATTCATCGGCCGCTCGACTCATGGAAACCAGCATTTGCTCCACGAGCGCCAACATGGTCAGCTAAGAAAGGAAAAAGAAAAATCATGGTCTCTGAAGAATGAGCTATGGTGTAGGCGCATGGAATGCACAGTCAAAGCAAAAAGTCGCGCACCATGTTGGGGTGTCGGTTCAGGGCATCGAGTTCCAATTGTGTGCCCGACAGGGTGAGGGTGGAGCCAGCTTGGCGGTCCTCGTCGATGCCATCGTCATCGAGCTCTAAATCCATGGGTTCGGGCAAATTCTTGGCTTCTGTCGGTTTAGGGGGCTCGACTTCGGCACCGGCCGCCTCGGCCCCTGGGACAGGTGCTGCCTCAAGACTGCTTGCACCGTTGGGATCGGCCCAGGATGCCATGCTCTGACTCAGGCTGCTGTCGGCTAGGAGCTGCGATGTTAGGTATCGCGTGCCGTGTTGTGTCTGTACCGCAATGTGGCGCAATGCACAGTGCGTTGAGTATCAAGATAGGGCTCAAAGCAGGTGGAGAGGTGCGGTGCCTACCCGTGCGGAGGAGCGAAGTGCCGTCAACTGGCGAAGTCGCAGAGTGGGAGCTTGATCGAGCTCAGCTTTAAATTCAAAAGTCCTAGACGCCGACGCACAAGGCCACCGGTGAGGAGGCGCGGGCACGAACGTTGAGCGAGCGCAATCAAATCAATCGTACTCATCAGCGGTGGGGGCAACGCAAACGATGGGACTCGGGCCTTTTTTGGATTCGAAGCAAAGGGTCGTGAAAAACTTGAGCCGCTTGGCGGGGTCTGTTTGCGTGCAATCAAGGACATGGAACAGAGTGTTGAAGGCTTTTTGCTTGAGCGTTTGCGGAAAATTGGTCAGGCCGGGAATTTGCGTGGTTTTGTCTTGCAAAAACCCACGCAAGCTGTCCACCACAGCTTTGGTCAGGCAATTGTCAGCCACGGCACCGGTCAGTCCGGCCTGGTCGTGAAACGCCTGGTTGACGGCCGCACCTGCGCGGTTGGACGTGGCATCGGTGAGTTCGACCGCTGTTGAGTCATACTGGCAAGCCATATCGTGTGAACGGGGCGCAGCGACGTACGAGTGCCGTATACTTCATGTACAGGGAGTAAGCGAAACATCTGCGCAAGGAGCTGGCATGCCACCTCCCGGCTCCACCCGGCCGTATCCGAGTGGTGCTTGCTGGACAGCATGGCGGTGATGGCCGTAATCTCCTCTCGATAAAAGTCACGGCGTACTGCTGCATCACATCCTTCAAGAAGCGCCGGCAAAACATGGTGTGCCAGGGCGTTGCGCGCTGCCTCTGGCTTGGTCAAGTCCACGGCAACGCGGAAGGTCAGGCGCAAAACGCTTGCTACCACTGGTGCTCGGCCAGTTTGGGCTGCAAAGCTGGAAAACGCCTGAACAAAGCCTTCGTGATGCACATGCGCCTCTCCTTCCTTAACATATAGCTCCAACACCACCTAGGGCGAGGCCACCAAAAGTCATTGTTGCGGCGGCGAGACAATTGCCAGATGAGCATCGGAGAAGAGATGGTCAAAGTCAAAAAGCAACAGAAAGGATTCATAATCTTCGACCAGCCTGTACCAGGCTCATACAACCACTACAAAAGAAAACGTGACCTATCACACGGAGTGATACCTTGAAGAGCGGTTCGGCACCCGATACGACGAGTCCACGAAAGACGTCGTTGAGGGTTGCCACCAACTCGCGCCGCTTGGTCGTGCCGGGACCATACTCGCTCGATTGAAAGGGGAACTGTCCACACATTTTTCGCACGCTATCGGCAGCCACGTTTGGCATGAGGTCCTCCGTACCCGCCAGAGGCACGGCGGGTACGGAGCACAGCACGCCAATCAGCTGTCGCGAGTCCGCTGCGTGTGGCAACAAGGGCGGCGATCAATCATGAGGGGCGCGCGGGAGGGAGGGATGAGGCCCCAAGGGCTCTTGGACTGGCACATGAGACTGGCACATGAGGCACAGGTCAAGAATACGTTGACCAGACCTCTTTCATGAAGAACCAGAAGAACACACAAGGGAGAGAAGCAGGTAGTAAGAAACGAGAGAGCTACACACCTTTTTCGGCCAAGGTTGAATTGGATTCCAGATCGGCACACACATGGCGAAAGGCGGTCGGGTGCAAGCCGGCCACAACTTCGGCAAGTGGCAGTCCACACCGCGATGCCTGCTCTACCAAGCGCACCAGCAGCCTCGGCTGATCGGACAGAGCTTCATGAAGCGTGGGAAAAGCACGCATAAAGGCGGCCAACGCCTCGCGTCGATAACGTGCTAGATCTGCCGCGGCTGTGAGCTGCGCAAATACACCGGCCAGCACATGCACGACCACTGGTACACGCGCGTGTACCGCGAGATCCGGCATCAAGACGGTGGTGTGTCGCGCCACAAATCCCGCAATGCAAGTCCGAAACGTTTCGTAGAACCGCAGTCCCTTGGATTGCTGAATACCTTGTGTCGCTGATGCCGGGGCATCGTACAAGCTAACGGGAGTCGCCAATAGCACTGTCTCTTCATCCAGCAAGCATGCGAGGAGCGCGTCTGTGCAAGGATAAAGGCTGAAAGCCAGTTCCAACAGCACCAAACCAGTCTCCTTGCTACTGGGGTGCAGGCGCCCTTGTGTCTGCAAGAAAAGTGATTGAACCAGCTCCTTAGCAACTTGATCAGCGGGCTTTGGCAGCAGACCTTTAAGCAAGCCGGTGGCCTGCAGGAGCTGATAGCCCGTAGCCAGCCTGCGGGCCAACGGCAAAAGGGTAAGGCTTCGCTCGTGGCCAGCGCCCATGTTCTGGGCCAGCTTGAGTGGAAACAACGTCTTGATTTCGTCCCACGTGGCCAAATCCTGCTCCAGTTCCTGCCGGATAGCCGAGTCGGTCGAGGCGTGTGCCACGGCATCCAGTGTCTGACCCAGCACTTGCTGCAGCTGAGCCATGATGGATTGCGATGCGGCGTTAAAGCCCAGATGGGCTGGGTTGAAGAGTAAGGTGCTAATCATCTTCATTGTTTGAGCATTGAGGAACTGGCGCGGGATTAGGGCTGCCGTCAAAGCGGGGTTGCGCAGAACCACCTCAATGAAGCGGAGATTGCGAACGAGTACGCCGCATACAATATCGCGAAGCGCAGCATCCAAATGCGTGTAAAGCCAGGTGCCCGAACCCAACAAAGCCTCTTGAAATTCGTGCAGAGCTGGCACAATGGTGCACTGCTCCGAGCTCATCATCGTTGCCAGGGTTTCGGGGGACACCAGCCCGTGTTTAATAATCAGGTGATACCCCTCGAGACAGGCAGCCAGAGCGCGAAGCCAATGGGCAGCTTCTTGGTAGTCACGGCTGCGTAGCGAGCGCAAGACTGCGCTCGATCCCAGATGCGAAGTCGCGATGGTGGCATCTCCAACTTGGCCTCGCTTCAGGTTTTCAATCAGACCGGGCGTGAAGCCGCCCACTGGGCGCGTGAGGTACTGCTGAGGGCGCATGGCTCCGTGTCCATCGGGGCCCGGGATCTTGGTCACGAGGTGCATGAAGAGGTCGATGGCGGCATGGCGGGCCGGTGCCGAGGTCCAGCCAAAGCCCCCAAAGCAGTGCGCCACGAGATTGGACAGCACCGCCTGAGGCCAAGAAGCTGGTCCACGCCGATGTCGTTCAGGTTTATTGAGTATTCCGGCCTGGGGGGAGAAAAAAAAAAGCACAAGAAAGGTGAGGTCACACATCAAGGCCTTGCGACGCGCGCACAGGCACAGGCAAGAGATGGCGGTCATGCAGCCACAGCAGGGCAAGTATACGAACGTGGTGGATGAGCATGCGCTTGCAGTCCATCACGACCTCGGTGAGCCGCTCAGATGTGCCCGCGCCCTCGGGGTCATTCTCACAGTGCTGAAGACCGGTGAGAAAGGCTACAGTCAGGTCCAAGCCAAACACGGAGACAAGGGGGGCTGACTCGCGCAGCTTGCGATAAATGGTTCGCATGGCGAGTGCGGCACCCAGGCGCTGGAAGATGGAGGGATGTGCAGCCATGGCACGAATTCGTAGAAGCAGACTGGTTAGCGCGGTCTTGCGCTCGGGGTTCTCTGCGCCCTTGCGCCGCAAGGCAAAGGTGAAGAATTCCGCCACGCATCGGGCGGCAAACTCGCGCAGATTGGTGTTGGATGCATCACAGAGTGCGTCCAAGATGGCCGTGATCAGCGCCACCGTGTTGGGGTACTCGTACATGCGGCTGTCCGTAAACCAGCGCACAACTTGCAGCGTCAGAAGTTCAAAGAGCTGCTGGGGCACGCTGTCCAGGTCGCAACTCAGTTGGATCATGACGGGGAAGATATGACGCCAGAGGTCGGTCATGACATCCTTGTTGTCCTCAATCAAAACAGCCTCGCGACCAAGGATGTAGAGGACAATAGCGTGCAGTAGCTCACAGGCGGCAGTGCGAGTTTGACGATCCCCTGCATTTGTGGCCAGATCAACAATGCGGGGCAAAAGCGGAGCCAACTTGATACTGGGCTTGATGTCAGGGAAGGGCACCGTCAATGGCAAGGTTTGCGAGGCGGACCAAGCCACCCAAGTGGGGACCGCCTCGGCGTCTTCGGGGGAACCGATCAACGCGAGGTGGTGGCTGACATCGAGTCCAAACTGGCCCAGGAGAGTGACGATGGTGCCCTTGACACGATCAAGCGGAGCGAGTCCATCGTCTTCCACCGCACCAGGCTTTGAACGCGCGGCTCCGCCCTGTGTACGCTTAGCTTGGCCGTCTGTTATGACAGCATCGGCGTTCAAGTCGTCGGTCGCGCTCGCTTGCGCCGTGAGGTATTGATCGAAGCGCCGAAGCAGAGGGGCAAGATGAGGCTGCAAGGCAGCGAGGCCCAGAACATCCAGCCAGCGCTGTAGGCTGGCCAAAGCAGCCTCGGCCAGCGGCAGGTATCTACGCAGACAAGGCAAAGCGCGGGGCAGGCCTTGAGATGCCAGGCTGTGGGCGGAGCAACCCATTGCGCACGCGATAGGGAGCAAACGCAAGGTGGTCAGCAGGGAAACAGTTTGACCGACCCGATGCCAAGTCTCAGGCTGGTATCAAGGGCTTCAATGAACACCTCGGTACGCGACTTGACCACGACCGTGGGGCACGTGACCAAGAAACGGAGGCATGTGGTGAGCAGCTCATCTTTGAACTGCTTGCACTGACGCATGACCTACACGCATTGAGAAAAGAAATCAGCAAGAGCGGGCGTCGCTTGTGCACACTGACCAAGAGCAATGGCTCGAGCAATACCACGAGGCCCGCGGCAGGTAGACTTACGGTGGCACAGAAGGCCCCCATCAAGGTGACGTGGTTCTCCAAGAAAGATTCGAGTTTTTGGTGCTCATTTAACAGGCCCAGCTCCTCTGCTAGCTCGTTGGCCGTGGTCAAGAGGGCATAGAGACCGCTTACGTATGGATGCTGCGCCCAAGGAAACATAGCGCATGACTTGAAACGACAGCATCTGCCCGCCCGCCTCCCACACAGAGGGGTAAAGGTAACATGCCCCGCTACTACGAGAACAAGGCGCTGCCATTACATGCGGCATACCTGAGTAGCCCGTCGCACGAGTCGCTGTGCCATGAGAAAATACCAATTCCGAAAGGGTGCGCGCCGACTTTGACGTAGGACGGCCGTGGTAAACTCCACCAGCTGCTGTAAAATCTAAAGGCCAAACCAACATGTTGCACAGTCGCTGTCAGCTGGCTGATGATGGGGGTATCGGTACGATGTCGGGCAGACTGGGCGGGAAGCACACTTGAAAGTCTTTGGCACGAGTGGCACGCAAATCGTCCAAGCTGGCTGTGGCTGCAGAGGTCATTGTGATGGCCTGGGAGGATGGGGCGGCTGTTGCACTTTGAGAACGTGCGTCGCCATCGGTAGGCACGAAGGCAGAGAGATCCAACTTTTCTAGGACCTGCATGATGGCCTCGAGAGTGGCAGCATACATGTGATCCATCACGTCGGTCCCAGAGGCTCCGCCATCGACGTCTGTGACGGACGTGGGGGGTGGTTGGGAGACCAGGTGCGCAAAGGCTTCGACCATGATGTTGCGCGCCTCGCGCTCCATGGGTGAGGCATCGGGGTTGTTGCTGGCTTGCACGCCATAGACACACGCCAGCACCACGCCCTGAAACGAAGGTGCGCCGGTGCCACGAGATGCAGTGAGAGACACGCGAGGCATGGCAAGAGGGGTGGGTTGAATAAAGACAAAGCAAAAGCGAGGAACTTGATGAAGACAGAGGGTTCCGAAAGGCGGGCGCACCTGATGACAAATTTGAGAGAAGAAGGATTGCACAACGGCGCCGCGGCTGTACATTGTCGCAAGGCAGCGGGAAAGGCTTTTATAGGCACCGAAGCGCTTGAATAAGGCAAGGCAGGTTGCAGGACAAGCGAGCGTGAGCAGCCGTTCAGGCTAGGGCAGGAAGGGAAGGCCATATGGATTCTGGAAGAGATCGCTGTTGACTAGGAGTGTAGACAAACGACGCGCGGCACCAGTCCAATCCAGCTCACATACTCGTTTGATATGAGTCCGGGGGAGGTGTTCGAAAAGCTGCAAAACCATGCTCTCGAGCATGGTGGTATGATGTGCAGCGGGAGAGGGCAACACTGCAACGATGCGGGCCAACGCATCAATGTAGGAGCTCAGCTGATAGAGACGATCCCCCTGGCGAGTGGGAGCACCGATTCGAAAGCAGGCACACATGGAGAGATGAATGTGAGTGTTGAAGCTTGAACGGGTGTGGGTGCAAGGCCAGCTCCGGGGTGGGCAGTCGAGTGGCGCACTTCGTGATCAAGAGTTTTGGTGGCGGCGGAGTCTTCGCCGTCCACATCGTCACCGTTCGAAGCATAAAGTTGCTGGCAGCGCTCGGTGAAGCGATCGGAAAGCCGTTGGAGCTCTTCGGGTGGTCGCATGCACTTGCAGGCAGCGGCCAAAAAGCCAAATCCACGGATGGCCACGGCACGGTGTCTAGGCGTCAGATCCTTGTGCCATTTTTTTTTTTAATGGAGCCGGGCAAACGTTTCGAAAAGCGGCAGCGAGAGCGGAGCAAAGTCAGCGTTTGCGGCGACCAAGATCCATGGGCTGGGCCAATCGTTCACACACAGAAGCGCTTGGGGCAAGAAAAACACAACAGGGATGAGCACAGGGGAGAGGGAGAACGGCGGGGTCACCTCAGCTGCCAACATGTTGCTGAAAACGTTGACGAGGTGCTGATACATGACGCCCTTGATTTCGGTGACGGCCTCGCTGTCGCGAGCGGGATCTTGCGCGAGAAAGTGGGCGGTCCATTGGAAGAGGGCTTCAAGAGCACCCTGTGCAGCGACGCTGAGGTCGTGGTTGCTGTTCTTGGCCAGGCGGTCCAGATTGACGAGCAAGGCTTCAAAAGTGTTTTGCGAGGCCGTGAAGAACGGCTGCAGATGGGCTACGGTTGGCCAAGGTCATAAATGGCACGAGTCGAGGTGCTCTGAGCGGCGGAGGGGCGGCAGAGGGGCGTGCGCGCGGTCGAAGAACACATGGTATGTGCGCGGTGGCGACTACCGATGCCATGAGCCTGGAAGGATGTCTCGTACCTGCGTCGGCGGCAAAGAGATCAAGCGCGGCGCGGATGGGTTCAAAGCGTTTGAGCGCCTGTTCCGTTTTGGCTTTTGTCATGTTGGCCACATGTTCGTAGATTTGTCGCATTTGCACCGAGGTGACTACGGGGGTGGGGGGAAGAGAACAGATGCAAGGGTTGGTTGATGGGTGGACTTTGGATACCGAAGGGGGGAGGTTCAATGGGGAAGACTTGCCACTCAGACGTTTGCCATGATACTCGAGGACAAGAGTACCAGCCAGGCCTCGAAAGCAGCCCCCAATAATGGGCCAATCCAGCTTCCCGGTCATCTGCAAAGGGAAGCAGGGGCGGCGAAAAGGTTTGCGGTTAATATTATTTGAGCAACCCCCCTACCCGCAGGCGCAGAGCAACGATAGGTGACGCACGTTGGCATGGAGGACACTAATGAGAAGGGCACGGCCATCGGCGCCGGTCACGCCCGCAAGGCTGGGAAAGTGTCGAATGAGCACACCCATGAGGTGCAGAACGCGTTCTTTGACGGTGGAAGGTGTAGCCGAGACGTTGCTTTGGAAGATGCCTTGTAGCCTGTCGGGACGAGGGAGGGACCGCGTGAGGAGGGAGCGTGTGCGATTGGCGCAAGGCCGGCATGAGGCTGGCTCCGTCCGCCTGACTGAAGTGCGTACATGCTCATGAGGTTGACAATTTGAAGTTCATCAAAGAGGGCGTCGCTGTTGTCCGGGGTAATGAGGCTGTCGGTTGTGAGAATTTGAATCATTAGGGTGGCGGCGGCTGTTTTGACGGCAGATTTTTCACTCTTGATTTGCAACAGGGCTTGGGCATGCCGCTAAGTAAGGCAGGAGCAGAAGCAATGAGGGGTAAGGGCAATGAGGGGTAAGGGTTCGGGAGGGAGGAAGGAAAAGGGGGAGGAGGACGGGGTCGAGACGAGGATGAGGATGGGGATGGGGTCGAATCGGGCGGGCGTTTGAGGAGCGTGATATGATTGTGCAACAGGCCACCGAGGTTCGAACCATGAGGGGTTGAAGGTAGCGGGTGAGGGTTTCTGTGGATAGGCGAGCCACCAGCAGGCCGAGACAGGCGAGGGCATGGGCTTTGGCTTTGCCGTACTCGCTTCCGGCAGCCTGGGGAAGCTTCTGGAGAGGGCGAGAGAGGGTGAGAGAGGGTGAGAGGGTGTGGGGGTGAGAGGTTGAGAAAGGGAGGGACAGCCAGCGGACGCAGCAATCAAGGGAGGAGTCGGGACGGGGTGGGGATGGCAGCGTACTTGGCGGTTGCGCAGGGTTGCAAAAAAACCGAGAAGCCCATCCTGTTCACTGAGAAGCTGGGTGGCGAGAAGATCGAGGTGCCGGGCATCGGTACAGGCTTGCAAGTGTCCATGGCAATCGTTGACAAGTTCATAAGCCAGCGTTTCCCGCGTGCTGCCCCCTTTGGCCAGGAGCAGCAGTTGCTGCAGTGTACCGCTGGCCGTGGCCACCGCCGTTGCCGTCGCCTCGGCCATGCTTTCAGCTTCAGGAAGATCCGCCCCAAGGTGAAATCAAGGGGGAGAGGGGCGCCGGGTTAGTTGGTTGTGAGCTGGAAACACCGTGTCGATCGGATACCCGGATGTATATCTATAGAATATCGGGATTGCAGCGATGGTCGTCACTGATGCTCTTAAAACAGGAGCGAGGACAGGGGCGGGAACAGCGCCTCCAGCGCCATCGAATCGGAGATCACCCCGAAACTCTCCCCGCTCCCTCTGCTCAACCCTCCGACTCTGACAGCCACGCGAACGACAGCAGCAGCAGCAGCAGCGACGAGAACAGCAGCAGCAGCAGCAGCAGCAGCAGCGCGCTGATTCAAAAAATGATTCTTATACCGTCCGCAGCCGTTTGAGAGAGAGAGAGAGAGAGAGAGAGAGAGAGAGAGAGAGAGAGAGAGAGAGAGAGAGAGAGAGAGAGAGAGAGAGAGAGAGAGAGAGAGAGAGAGAGAGAGAGAGAGAGAGAGAGAGAGAGAGAGAGAGAGAGAGAGAGAGAGAGAGACAAGACGACAAAACGTGTTCCAGCAAGAAATGAAAGAATACCAAAAATAAGTAAAATACCAAACCTTTCGAGCGTCATTTTACGCTCAACATGGATCCCAGACCATCGAAATACTTTTGCCTTGCGCACCAAGACATCCACAGACTAACCAAGCCACAGCCACGTATAAGCCAACTATCTGCCAAACATAAGCCACAGACGTCGTGGTATCATGGTGAGGGTATCCACAGCCTTCCCACGAACTCGCCAAGCATGTGCGAGTCGAGTCACGATGACGGATGAATTCATTCTGACGCCAATCAAGCCGATGGCGTCCTTTTTATCCTATTCAGATGTTTCGTACCCTCCTGGGTGACTGGAGCCTTTTGCAACCAGAGATGTGGGGGATGGCATGGTAGTGAGGCAGAGAATGTGTTCTTGCAAGCCGTTGTTTCAGAGACTGACACCTACGTTGAATCCTCCGTAGAGAGAAAATCAACGACAATAGAGAGAATTTGTCGAGTGGTGAAGCGAAATTGGAGATGGTACTCCAGCACGATATACAAGACAGAGAATGGGATTGTTGAGCGTGGCGGGTCCTCATGCATCACGAAGCCGACATTCAAGTCATGACAGAGTAAGAGAGAGGCAGCTTTGGCCGCAAGGCGTTGGCAGAGACCTGGTCAAATCATGGGCAAAGCGTAAGGCAAATGCCAAGGCAAAGTCAGAGAAACGGATCGAAGCGTCTCGAAACTCAGAGGTGACCGGAGCGGTCAAACCGCCCATAGGATCTTTTTTTTAAAAGAAAACCGCAGTGACTACGGCGGCACCCTGATGGCGGCGGCGGCGACAGCAGCAGTGGCAGCGAGCGATAACGATGACGTGATTAATGAGCCGAAGAGAAAAAGCACACGCGCTACACATGAACCCCCCACACACACGCACACACCGCAAGGATCGGGATCGCTGCGCGCGAGAGAATCATCAAATGTCGGCATGACGGCGTCGCGTCATCCAGTGCCATGACGACCAAAACGGCAGGAGAAGGAGACGACCCTTGGATCCTCTATCCATGCGCAGCGATCCTCGTAGAGATGGGAGCGGCAGCAGCCACAACACCCACACCCCACTTTTGGATTTTCTCCAGCCACTGCAGGTGCCCCAAACCCCCCAGCTTGGGTTTTGGCCCACAATTGCCACGGCACTCGAGTACAAGCAGGGGCGGAACCCGATCCAGTGGCATTTTCTTCCAGTCGCTCAAGCAGCTCAACAACAGCCCTCTTCCAGCCCACTGCCAGCTCCTGCCATATTTTGACCATCAAGGTGGGTGTTTCTTCACATCCGATATTCCCTTCTTTGCCCTGAGGCCGAGTCGCAGCCACTGGCACTGGCTGCCCTTTCGTTTCAGCTTTTTTTTTTAATTTTTTTTTTTTACCTCGCTTCTCGCTCTTTTCCCTTTGTCCTTCTTCTTCCTGTGCGCGATCGCGCTCTGAAGTTTTTTTTTGATCTGGCCCTCAGCCGTTGCCCCTCACCACACACGCTGTTCCCTAATGTTTGACACCTTGACACATAGGTTTCAAAGCACCCCGACAACAACAACAACAGCAAACATGTCTTTTGTGGCCATTGCCGGTACTTCAGGCTACGTGGGTCAAGCCACGGTGCAGGCCTTTGCCAAGGCTTTCCCCAAGGTCACGGTCAAGGCCGGCGTCCGCGATCCCTCGGCCGAGAAGGCCCAGTCCCTGAAGGCCGGTGACAACATTCAGCTCACCAAGATTGACATGAACGATGCCGAGAACATGAAGGCCGAGTTCAAGAACGCCGATGCCGTCTATATCATTACCCCCGGCCACATTGACCGCACCAAGATTACGATTGGTGCCATTGATGCTGCCAAGGCGGCCGGTGCCAAGTACATTGTCGTCGTCTCCTTCCCCACCGCGCACTCGGACTCTTGCTTTGGCAAGCAGATTGGCCCCGTTGAGGACCACCTCAAGGCCAGCGGTGTGGCGTACGCCATCCTGCGCCTGCCCATGTTCATTGACAACTTCTGGGGTCTGGCCGCCGGCATCAAGGGCGACAACAAGATTTACGCCCCCGTCAAGCCCGAGGCGGCCTACTGCCCCATCGCCGTGGAGGACATTGGCCTGGCCAGCGCCACCATTCTCGCCAACCCGGAGAAGCACCAGAACAAGATCTACACCCTGACCTCGGCCAAGAACATTAGCCACGCCGAGATTGCCAAGGTCTTTTCAGACGCCCTCGGCCGCCAGATTGACTACGTCCAGGTTCCCTACGAGGCTGCCCAAAAGGCCTTTATGGACATTGGCCTGCCCGAGTGGCAAGCCGCCGGTGTCATGGAGCTCTACAAGTACGTCGATGCCGGAGACAAGATGGTGACCACCCCCACCTCGGACTTTAAGGACATTACCGGCAACGACCCCAAGGGCTTCAAGGAGTGGCTCGAGCCCGTCAAGGGCGCCTTCTAAACGCCATTGTGTGTGTGTTTGTGCTTGTGTCTCTAATCAACCACGTTGTGTGCTTGACGCGACGTCGCTGACTATCTGGATCTGGATAATTAAGGAAAAAAAATCTGGAAGCGTGTTTTCTTGAATCCGGTGACCACGGCTTTACGAAATAAAAAACACGACTCGGAAAATGCCAGTAGCTTTTGAAGCCGAGGCCGGTTGTTGATGGTTGACAGGGGTGTCTGTGTCCTGCGACGCGCATACAGCCCAGTCGACCCTGTCCAGAGGACATTCAGGGAGTACCTGCTCGGGTACAACCTGCGTGTGCTATGGGCTCGTCGAGCGTCGAAAGTGAGATGAAAACATGCGCAAACGGCCATCTTCACAAACCCATGAATAATCTGCATGAACCCAATGCGCCAGATAAAGGTGACGTAAGGTACTGGAAACAGGTTTTCTATATCAACCTGGAATATACGGTGTTTAACTGATGGCCTAGGTGAGTAAATCAAGTTTAGGGATGCAAATGTCATTTTCTGGTTGTTGATGCATGTGCAGCATTGCGAAATCCTTACGAGAGGGGCAGGTGGCACCCTTTGAAAAGAAGAGAAAAGCGCTCAAGGCATCTTTCACGTAGAGAGAAATTAAAGCAAGAATCAGAGAAGGATCTGGCCAACAAGCGATTTTCAGAGAAAGAGGTCAGCTGCTGAACAAAAGCTCACATCATGTGATGTAGGCTCTTTGTTTGCATGCGTGGCTCTTTGGTAGTCTTACCTTTGGCTCTTAAACCAACCTCCTTGTTAACACCATCTCTTAAACATTACTTAATATAAAGCTCAAAGGCGATGATTTTGAACAGAAATACAACTTGTCTCTGAAATTTCTCCTCCATTTCTCTCTCTCTCTCTCTCTCTCTCTCAGGCCACTCCAAAAAAAAATCCCAAAACACACACACACACACAGACGGCGGCGACGACGACGACAAGGTGAGAGAGCCAACGGCAGCCCCAAAGGCGCCC